TCTCTCTCTCTCTCTCTCTCTCTCTCTCTCTCTCTCTCTCTCTCTGTGCCAGGTACTAACCTGTGGAAGGTGGTGCCTTGTTGCAGGTACATCGAAGACGAAGCTGGAGCGATGGCGTCACAGGTAAGCTCCCAGGTAAGTCTCCCTGGCCTCCACCACTCTCCTCCCTCTCCACGCTACTCTAAGGTCCTAGCAGCACCCAGCGCTGAAGACTACTCCTATGGTACTCTACTACTACTGCAGCGCTCCCAAGAGTGCTGCTGCCGAATGTCCGAAGACTGCCTCCTGAACTGCCTGTTCCCTCCCTGGCGGACCAGCACTATATAGCGCTGGTCCGACTGGGAGGCTGCTTTTGCCAATGCCGAATCGTGCCAGACCCTGGCGCCCAAGTTCAAAAAACGGTTGTCTTGAAACGGGCCTAAAAATGGTCTGCACTTATCCCTGGTCTGGCGGCTAAGTTTCAGGAAAGGTCGACTTTAAGAGGGCCTAACATTGGCCCTCCTTTTTAGGCTGAAACAACACAGGGCCTGGAGCCACTGTTCCGCCTGCAGGCCCGTGTGGTGCCTGGTCGGGCCCTGCAGGCCCGTGTGGTGCGCAGTATGCCACAGGAACAAAAAGAAAAGAAATGACACCCAATGGGAGCCACTGGAAAGTCGTATGTTTCCCCATGCCTACAATCAAGAAAAACACCACCACCGATCATCGTTCTCATCAACGGTGCCTCGGGGTCACACACCCTTTCCGCTACTCCACATACATCGGTAGTGGGATCTCCCTCCAGGACTTCCCTGGATGGCAAAACGAAACAAAAAAGAAAAAGAAAGAAGAAGAATTTCCTGGATGCATCTGACGACAACTACATCCTGTCCTGGTTGTATCGCACTGCAAATTTGTGCAGAAGTTATTGGAAAAGTCCCAGTGTGAAAATGCGATCATACATTGCTCCACAGTTACATCTGTGCTCCATTCACTCGTCACGGAGGTCACATGTTTTCCTCTGAAGTGACCATTTTGGATAATCTTATGATTTTAAACATTCAATTTTCTATTTTGGATTATTTAAGATGTGTCACAGTAAGTTCACTCTATTGGATAATTTTACGTGGTTAGGCCCGTGCATCCAAATATATGGCCAGCGCACTGAGGCACCAGTACCTTTCCTCGCTTGAAAAAAGGTACCACGGCGGTTAACACGGAAGTTCAGCGGGGAATCGAAATGGCTGGTGGCACCTTCCAGATATGTCTGTGTCGGTTCGTTTTTCGCTGGCGCGCAGGACAAATTTAGGCCTGCGGCCAACATGTTGGAAAGGTACTCGTGGTTTAACCGGCGTTTTGTGTTTGCAGAGTGGTGCGTGAAATTCTGTCAGTAGGATCGTTCAAATATTCATGGTTGCATGTTCTGTGTACTTTCATGAGGGACGCTCTGCCCGGTCCCCAGCACGTGTTGCTCCCCACGAATAGATCGGAGCATTGTCCCCTTATAAGAAAAGAAATATCCATGGTTGCGATATGTGACTCACTTGCGCACTTTTTCTATCACTTTTGATGACCAGTGGGACCTCCCTTCTGGAATCCCAACACGCTTTGCCAGACCCTAGCAATACAGAACAAAAGCATGTGGGACTTTAGTCAAGATCACCGAAGCTCGCAAGATCCAAAATTGGCTATAAAAAAACTTAAACCACCGGTACTTCCAAATGTTGCAGCTGCATGCGAGCCATCCATTGCTTAAGTGCCGTGACGTTTCCAACTTTCCACTCGAATGAATTTATGCCAGCGCCCCAGGCCCTTTCATCCCAGCACACCGTGGCACGTGCATCGCAATGACTTTCGGAAGTACTGCACGTGCATCACAACGACTTTCAGAAGTACTGCACGTGCATCGCAACGAATTTCGGAAGTACTGGTGGTTTAAACCACCAGTACATTTCCCTGCTTGAAAAACAAATATGCAGCTCATTAACCGTCACAACTTTTGGGGCCAGGCTGCCGTTGATAAATTTCATCGGTGGCCTTGGTTGCATTTCCGGCCTCTGAAAGTCGCCGTGAGAGGCCTGCAGCCGACATATGAGAAAGGTACTGGTGGCTTAAACCACCAACCCTCGTTCATCATGAAAATCCTGTCACAGGGTCACCAATCCCTTTCACAGCTGTTTTGCTCAGACACGGCGGTTGAGCCAATGCAAGATCGAGGGTCAAGCCTACGGAACGGGAAAGGCTGGTGTCACCAGGCGAGACGTGTGCCTCACTGGTTTGCCAGGAGTTGGCATGCAGCATTGGGAAAGTGAGGATCGGTCGGAATGGTGATCTGAAAACTCAAACGGAATGTTAGTACAACCCCCTGAGATGGGAAAGTGGCACAAAATTACCTTCCTGCCAAGCTCTGATGTATCCTTTGGGAAATTGGGATATATTCCCAAATCTTCTGCAGTTAGGGTATGATCCTTGGTGTTTTGCTCTCTTTTTCCCACTGTGACTTCTGTGTGCTTAACCCCCAGTATGCTCTAGTAAAAGGCGAAAGAATAGTACTCCATCTTGAGCTGGGCACGCAGCTGAGCCTCCTTTTCCCAGGGTAGATTTTTGTCAAATCTTTTTTTTGGCTGGCCTGCCGGCCTTTTTGTTCCGGTAGACCAAGGCCCGAAGGTCACAGCATGTTAACTGCTGCGATGGATGAAAAATGGCTGGGACTCTGCAAAATTTTCAGGACAACTCCATATCAGTCGTAAAAAAATGAAAAACCAAAATCCTGCTTTTCTTTTCTTTATTTATTTATTTATTTTTTTTGGAAGAATTGTGGCATTGGATTACAAATGGAATAGAGGCCGGGAAAACCTCCACAAACAACCTGGAGGAAAAACTGGGGCCATTACCCAGCTTAGGCTCATGCTGGAAACCGGGTCCAGCGTCCCTGATACTTCCCAACTAACAACTCTTCCACCAAAAAAATTGAACTTAATCCCTCCACCCAGTAGCCCTTTACAAGCTTATATCCAAGACCCAACACCAAAACTCCTATCTAGCTTGTCCCTTGTATCTCAACTCACATCCTTACCGCCCCTACAA